AAGACATAATGCAACACAGCAGGGCCCTGAAACATTCCAAGAATGACAGTGAAGGACTCCACTTAAGCAGCGGAACAAGAAAACTGTAGGCTAGAAGATTGGAACAAGAGGGTATAAGCCCAGGAGAGACATGGGGATGGGGGGGGGGGAGAGAGAGAGAGATATGGGTGGGGGGAGGGAAGGAGAGAAAGAAAAAAAAATAAAAGAAAATATAAGAAAAGTTGGTGACCCGATGTGTTTGATCCCACTGAGTTTTAGAGTCAGAAAAGTTTGAGGATAGATTGAAGGGAGGCGCAGAAACAACACCATTTTTAAAAAAAGAGGCAGTAATTTAATTCCAGGGAAAACAAAACGTCATACAAGAAGGGAGATGTAGTCATAGTATACTACCCAGCCAAACTGTGAGGCACTAGGCAGAAGTCCCCTACATTTGGATACCTTAAAAAGCGTCGTTTGTAGCCTATCTAGCTATCCTGAGAATGTGGGGAAGAGGAAAAAGAGATTGTGTGTGTGGAGGGGGTTGTGTTTGTGAGGAGGTAGTGTTAGGGGAGCTGAATCCTCATCTTCTATGGACTCAGATAGTAGAAATATTGAGAAATAGCAGCTATGGAAATAAATACGAGAAAACGCCTCAATGAAGCGAGTGGTCATCTTGGGAGGCAGCAATAAAGAAAGAGGCCGATGAGGCTGTTCTTCCTCATTATAAAGCCTACGGCGCCATTTGACCTTCTGAGCTATGTCATGTATTATTTGGGTAAAATAAAACATATATTTTAAGGAAACTAAACAAAGGGATGCTAGTTGTTCGAGTTAAGGCAAATGTATCTTCGAAGAGATTCGCACGATGGCTGTTAATATCGGAGCTGTTCTTTCCATGGAGATCTTTATGGGTAAAACTCTCACGATAATACACCTCGCATGGTACCCGACCAGTTTTGGTAAAATAAAATGGACAGGGACAAGCAGTCTCTAAAACCTGAGAACGTGTGGACTCGTCCTGAGATACACAGCGACCGGCGTGTGAAGTGTTAATCAAGGAGCACAGTCATCCTGTTTCTCTGGTGCGATGACGGCAACTGCCAGAAATTCACATCATTCCCTTTCCACTCTTCCGTGTAAGAGTTATTTCTGGGCGCCGGGGACCCCGAGCCTCCTGACCCCTCCTTTCAGAGCTGCTCCACTGTGTTTCCGTTTGTCAGACAGACGGAGTCCGCCTTTCCCGCAACCTCGCTGCTGTGCCACTGGTTCGAGAGAACCGCCGCCTCTCAAAGGGCTGCTTTCAGACTCGCCTTTCCAGGTCTTCTGTTTGATCTCAAAGGCCGCGCTGTGTCTCTGTGCCGATGCTCTCTCCGCTGGAGCTGAGACCCCCTGCAAACGCATTTCTGTTTGTTCCGAACTTTGATAAGCCTTACGTTCAACGATTTATCAAACAACCTTATGTTTAAGATGCAGCGTCAGGTACTATGCAAAAAACAGAGAGAGAGAGAGAAAGAGAGAGAAAGAGAGAGAGAGAGAGAGAGAGAGAGAGAGAGAGAGATCCTGTCCTTGAGAAACAACAAAATTAGACAAAGGTAATAGACACGGCCAAAGGAAATAAGTTCTGGTTATTTTATCACATATTAAAAAAGTTAGAGAGCAACCCAGAAAGTCCAATACAGGATGAACAGAAGTTACAGAAAGTAAAAAATAGAAAAAGGGAAAGGAGAAATGATTAAAGAAATAATACAAGAACATAACCCAGAGAAATTTCGGACGTTCACAATGGAGCAAGATGCACTGATAACTTTCGTTGTCACTGTCTCAGCTGAGCTTTTGTAAGAATTCAGAGCAGACAGCAGGAATGAGAGAGAAAAGGGGAGTGAGCGAGGAGAGAAGGGTTTGGAGCTGTCTCCTAAAACAGGAATTCATAACTAAGACTATATGTAAATGAATGGGAGATGACGGTACCACCTCAAGCCAACTGGCAAATTAGAAATATAAGAATTTTCTTTTAAAAAATTAGCATAGTACAAACTTTTTTAAAACAGGGGGTTTCCCTTCCTTAAAAAGTATCTTTCCCGATGGTAGAATTAACAGATACGTATGACAAAACACTTGGTAAACTATAGAGGAAAAACAGTGATCACTCATGATTTCACCAATTAAAAATGCCATCCCTGACATTTCAGTTATTCAGTATTTTTCTATACGTATTAAAAACACAATCTCGATTGTAACATACAAGCCGCTGTGTGATCTACTTACTTCAATCATTCTATGAGCACTTCTATGTGATGATCACTCAATATCATGATTTTCATGTACGTGATTTTTCCAAAATAGTTATTTTGGCTGCAATTTTCCACTATCGTTAAGTAACACCATGAGCATAATCTTTGTACATAAATCTTTGTTCAATTCTCTAATTATAAGGAATACAAGATGAATACTGAGAAGTGACATTTCTTGATAAAATATACTCAAATTTTGGGGAAAAGTTCTTTTTTGGGTACTTTCTAGTTTTGCTTCCCTCTTTTCTGAAATATCCAGGAACCGAGTGAATTTCTACTCATTTCTGTGAGAAATAGCATTTTTTTTTGCAAATGTCCCAAATAAGTAAACATCTATATAAGATAATTATCAATGTTCTAATGTTACTGGTTTTGGTGTTCAAGTCATTCATTAAAACTAAGTGTTGATTATGGTCCTTGTGGTCAACAAAGAATGAAGTGAATTTTCACTAGCAACAGCGGAAAACACATTCGAACAACACCTATGTATAATTACATTTTACGTCTTGCCTGTAATTCGTGCCCGTATTTGTGGAATGTACTCACATACAGTGCAAGTTAACGATTCCGAGAGCTATGCAAATGCTGCTTCACAATCAGATAAAAGCATGCTACCATGGGATGTCTGCAGAAGGATATTCATATGCTCATATATGTATTTTGCAGCTTGTATTTATTTCATTAAAAAGCATGCTTTTGTTTGGTGGTTCTTTATGAGGTTAAGAAGTGATTATTCTAATGAGGCCTCAAAAAGGGAGTTTCTGTCCCCCCCCCCCCCAAAGTACCTCGTGAGATGGAAGGAACAGAGGATGAGCCCACAGATTTAGTCCAGAAAACCATCACTTCCATTTCTTCACCTGACGGAGCTCTCTCAAAACATGAGCTCGTAGCTCAAGGCTTCAGTTACTCACAGTCAGGCAAACACAAGGACCTCAAATAAGTGCCTTTAAAATTCATGTGCCAGCAAAGACAAGAACTTCATCCCAAGTTAGCAAATTTCAAAAGACGTTTAGTGAGGATGGAGAGTGAGGGGGGCTCACGCTGCACCCACATGTCTGCAGAGCCTGTGAGTCGGAGTTAATCATCTTTGGTCTGGCTCGAAGGAAACATTTTACTGTAGCTGGCGTAAAAGCAGCAAATATAGAAGCACAATTTGTATTAAGATGAACAAGAGACCATCTGACAGCTTGCGATCTCATAAACCCCGGACGCGTCTGGGCTGTAACAAACGTCCCTGTATGTTGCCTGTATTTTTGCCTGCTTCAGAACTTAATACCCAAGGGTATCAAATGTTGCACTTTTCCAATGGTATACACATATTTTTAATGAAACCAAGATAAAACATAAAAGTTCACATTTCAATGTTTTTCTACCAGCGACGATTGCAGCGGATGTAAACCAAGCTATATTTTTATTTCTCCAGACAGAATTTCTTGAGAACCAGCCGGCATGTGCAGACAAGAAACCACTGTGAAGGTTTGGGCTTGGAAGGCTGTGAAGGACAAGAATCAAGCCACAGAGCTCAGGCCTGTCTCTGCAGGCCAGAACCACCTCCAGTTCTGTAGCCTCCATCAGGTTCGGGGGCGGGGGGGTGAAGAGGAGGGGGGCGCACACCAGGGGACAGAAGATGCAAACAGTTGCCTAGTGATGCAAGACCTGCCCGCATTACCCCTGATGCATCCAACTGCGGACGCATAACCAAGCACTAGTTAGAACCTGTTTGCACACGCGGGCCCTTGAAGCAAAGACGGTTCTGCAAAACCTCCAACTGCAGTGCAAGCGTTGGCATCCTCAGAGGACTAGGGCATAAACAGCAACAGGCAGTACAGCAATGGCTCGTGAGTTCCCCCATGCGTGGAGAAGGTCAGCAGAACCATGTACTTACTTCCCCACTCTGCTCTGCTTCAAGGCCGAGAAAGCGTTACACTGAAGGAGCTGTGGCTGCTGCCACAGTGGTCAGGATGCAGTGAGTATTCACTCCCCAACTGGCTGCCACTCACTTCTACCGTGGTCACTGAGAGCCCTACCGTCCAAATCAGGAAGTCATGAAGTGGGGAAGAGGAGACTTCACGGGATACAGCAGAAGGTGCAGCTGCCATCAGATCTCCCTGAATTAGCGCTGAACGAACTGGAGAGGTGCCACTGTATTCCCAAGTCAAACAGCTTCTACTTAGTTCAGCCACAAATGTTTAAACGTGGAGGGTCCTACCAAATCTACCCTCCATTTCGCTCTGAAAATACAGAACTCTCCCACATTGGAACATCGAGAACCCACATGTCCAGAATTCATAGTTCTGGAAGCTGGGTGAAGGCTGTTCAGGGCCTCATCAAACGGCTGTAGAGATCCCTAAAGGTGCTGGCCTCACCCCCCTCCCCATCGCCCCTCGAACGACCCAGGAGATACGGAGACCAGGTCTGGCCCTGGACCTGTACAGCACTGCCTCCCTCAGAGTGAGGACACTATGTCATTTTTCATTTCTTATCTGTCACTAGGAATGAAAGAAGTTTGATTCCCAGGCGTTCAGACCTAGGCAAGTTAATCAGGCCAACCTTTTCCACCTCTGAGAAAAAAGGACGAAAACGAACCCAAACCCAAACCTAGCACCTCCATGAGGACGTGTGGGAAGCATCTCCACAGGAAATTAAACCCTGCGGTGCCAAAGCGTCACAGGTGGACAGTCTGAGAGGCAGCACCCGCACAGCTCGGGTGGGCCTCACCTTCGTGCTTACCTGGCCGTGGGCTGGCAGTGAGGCGTAGGCCAGCGGCTGGTTCATCACCCCTTTCTGCTTCATGAGAAGCATGCGCTTCTGGTCCTCGCTCAGGTGTGCCCTGGGAGCCTGGAGCTGCGGCTGCGGCGGCTGCGGGGGCTGCTGCTGGATGTATGGCATCAGGGGCGTTTTGTTGGGATTGGCCATGGGCGGCGTTATTCTCTGACTCAAGTCCGCATTGAAATGGGTCAGAGGCTTAGTGTTGCCATAAGTGAGCAGGTTGTGCTGTTTGTTTAAGGAGTTTGTACCCAAGTTATTTGGCTGCTGATTGATCATGTTCATGTGATTCTGCGGGAGGTAGTTATTCATTGTCGTCTTCTGCAGGTTGTTTGCCATGGGAGGCACTATCGGGTTTTGGTTGTTAAAGGCTTGGGGGTACATCATGGGGCTATTTGGTTTCTCTGCAGTGAAAGCTGCGCCGTAGGGACTGGACGGCGGGCCTAACGGAGACCAGCTGGAAGCCTGGTTTGAGTGCTGCTGCTGCTGCTGCTGCTGCTTCTGCTGCAGGAGCTTGGCCCTCTGCTGCTGCTGCGCCGCCATCTGCTTCAGCTGCTCGGCTGGAGACATGTCGGAGCTGGCCACGGCCACAGGCCCCGGCCCCGAGCCGGCCACCGCCGCCGGGTTGAGGAGATAGCCGCTTCCAGGCCGGGGTGGGGCTTGGCCCGGAGTGTGGGCCGGGTTCGGCGTTGGCGGGGACTGGACCGCACAGTTTGCTGGCGAGCTGGCGGGGTTCGGAGCTGCAGGAGTGCTGGCAACAGAGGGTAAACTGGTGGCCGAGGAGACGGTAGAAAAGGGAGGACCGGAAGAAGAAGGCCTGGTCTGGGGAGAGCCCATGGAGACATGCGTAAAAGGAGAGTGAGAGGGGTCACTCTTCACACTCACGCTCTCCTGAGAGAGAGGGGTCTCGGTCGCTGGCTGCGAGAATTCGGGTTCCTTCTTCTCCTCAAAGTCCTCGTTGAACAGGTCCTGTATGTCGTCCTCAGGGACCGTGTTGGCCAGCTCGTCTATCAACTCTTGCCACTCCTGATCATTCAGGTTAATGTCCGAGAAGAGCTTGTTCTGATTTGAAAGCGATGTTTCTGATGTGTCTATGCAAGAAGGGTCATCTAGAGGTTCTTGTTTGAGGTCCTTGCTCTGCAAGATGGTGAAGCTATCTTCCAGGTCACTGCAACCATTAACGGGTTGAAGTTTAATCTCTGGGAGTCGACCATTCTTACTTAGGTCTTCTAGAAGCCCAGGAGTGTGAGACCCGCTGTTTTGCAAGGGCAAAGAAGGCTTCAGGTCAAGTTGGTGAAGAGGAGACGCGGAAGGCAGTGGCATGTTGTTGGGCAAACTGTTGATGGCTTCCATCCCTGTGGGAATGTCCTTTCGTATCCGCTTGCTGGTTGGAGAAAAACTCCCATCGCAAGCACCATTCTGCTGGTCTCCATTCAGTGGTGATCGGGCTCCTTCCAACTTCCTTTTCACAGTCTCTTGGAGCTGGAAAAGAAATAGGAAAGAGGATGACTAAAGCTCCAGCTCACAGCTTACTCTTTCAGCATGGTGAAATGCACGGCTGTCAACTAACTTTTAAGAAGCAGAGTTAAGAGACAGAAAACAAACTAAAGGCTGGAGAGTGGGAAAGAATCATCTATTACTATTTTCAAATGAATGCTAAATGTGAGACTTGGACCAAAATGCACCACACTTGAGGAAGATGTTAATACTTATCTTAAATTCTTGCCACATCTTAATTGAGGACATTAAGGAATTAAACCAACCATATTTTAAAGAACAATAAAAATCATTTAAGAAAATTTAACACATTCACTAAATAGCGTAGCAATGATGATTAATGGTTAACATAGCCCAAAACTTCCTTTGAGTTATTTTACTTGACCTCCTTGTACCGTGTGATTCTTGTCCATTGGCGTCTATGATCTCATGCTTTTCTGGATTTCCTTCTTTCTCTCCACCTGCTCTTTCTCAGCTTTCTATGTAGTCTTCTTTCTTTCTCTTAAACAACGGAATTCCTCATTATTTGGTCTTAAGCTTTTTTCCCTGCCCACTCTATACCCTAGTCTAGATGATTTCAACCATTACAACAGCTTCAACTATCTTCTCTAGGCTGATGACCTCTTAACAACATACCCAGCCCTACCTTCTCCGCTGAGCTCCCCTAACTCCAAGGCTCTCTTACCGGATGTTTTGCAGGCATCTAAAACTCAACACGGCTCAACACTGAGCTGATTATCTTTTCCTACTCAAACATGATCCTCACCAATGTTCCTATCTCAATACTACCTGGTTACCCAAATCAGAAACCTGAGCCTTCTTCTTGAAACATCCTCACATCACCAGTCACCAAGTCCTATGGCTTCTGCATCCAAACTATCACTGTAAGATGCCCACTCATCTCCAACCTCACTGCTACTCCTAGGCCAGGATACCATCATCTCTTGCCAGATTGTTGTAATGCCTCCTAACTGATCTCCTTGTCTTGTCTCCAGTCATCCATCCACTTGCTCTTCCATCTATTCTTTTATTCATTGCTTTGCTTTCTATCAATGTATTCGCTATACCGCCATCTCTTTAAAAAAAAAAAAAATCACCCTTTCTGCTTACAACCCTGTAATGATTTCCATTGTCTTTAGATTAAAATACAAACTGAGCCTATTTCAGCTGGCTCTTGGTCTTCATTCCAGGCTCATCTTCTTGCTTCTCGGCTTAGCATCACCTCTCCATCCCCTGCCAGACATTTTCTTTTTTTTTTTTTTTTTTATCCTCACCCGAGGACATGTTTCCATTTTTTGTACAGATAGAGTGGGAGGGAGAGAGAGGAAGACAGAGAGAGAGGGAAACATCGATATGAAGGGACACATTGAGTGGCTGCCACCCGCACGACCAACCAGGGCCGGGGACAAACTGCAACCGAGGTACATGCCCTTAGCGGGAACCGAACCCGGGTCTCTCCGGACCGCAGGTGGACGCTCTAACCGCTGAGCCAAACCGGCCAGGGCAAAGATATATTTGTTAGTCTTTTTTTTTTTTTTTTTGTATCCTCACCCGAGGACATTTTTTGATATTTTGTTCAGATAGAGTGGGAGGGAGAGAGAGAGAAACATCGACGTGAAAGGGACACATCGAGTAGTTGCCACCTGCACAACCCAACCAGGGCCGGGGACACACTGCAACTGAGGTACGTGCCCTTACCGGGAACCGAACCGGGGTCTCTCGGGACCGCAGGCCGACGCTCTAACCGCTGAGCCAAACCGGCCCGGGCTCAGACATTTTCTATCAATTCTCCTGAAACTTCAGTTTCTTAAGGTGCCAAGATTTTTTTGTGCTTCCAGGACTTTGGACACGTTGTTTTCTTTTCTTGGAACATACTGCTTTCCCTCCATTCTCCCTTCCCCAGGTTAACAGCCACTCATCTTTCAGGTTGTATCTTAGACTTCACTTACTCTAGGAAATCTCTTATGTCCACCCCCCCACACACCCTTCTTTGACTCACCTATGCTAGGTTGGATATGCTGAAATAAGTTTTTCCTTTTTTTTTTTTATCCTCACCCGAGGACAATTTTTTCGTTTTTTGCTCCAAACTATCACTGTAATATGCCCACTCATCTCCAACCTCACTGCTTCTCCTAGGCGTGGGAGGAAGAGAGAGAGAAACATCGACGTGAAAGGGTCACAAGTGGTTGCCACCTGCACGACCCAACCAGGGCTGGGGACAAACTGCAACCGAGGTACATGCCCTTAGTGGGAACCGAACCCAGGTCTCTCAGGACTGCAGGCTGACGCTTTAACCGCTGAGCCAAACCGGCCAGGGCTAAAATAAGTTTTTCCAAGCAATCTCTACTTTCCCATAACAGCTTCTACCATACTTTGGGGCAATTGCTGCGTATGGTTAATAAATAATGGCCAACTGAATGACCGATGCTATTGTGTAATTCATAGAGGCTAAAAGAGTGGGCTTAAATCAGAGCGGTAGGCAGGCCTATGGACCATAAGGAAGGCCTGACTTTGAGATTCTACATTCCCAGTAATAGGATCTCTCACCCTGACCTTGGAAGGTGTTGTGTCCATTTAACTAGATTCATTTAAGAAATCAAGTTCAGAACAGTCTTGCTAACTCTATGAATTTCTAAATCATAAACCTAATTCATCTGTCTGCTCTATTCCTTTCTGCCAGAAAAGGCCAGTGTGCAGGACTTCTGGTTAAAGAATTTGGCAGGAAGTAAGTCCTGGAAAAATGCCCACTGAATGACAAAAGGAAGACTAGACTGGGTTAGCAGGGGTTTTAGTAACTTCACAGAGCTGAGGCAGAAGGCACAATGCATGGGGAGGTCGGGAGGAGCAGTCCTCCGGGGAAGAGAGGAGCAGGATTCTCTCGGACCCTGCACTTGGCACTCACATGTGAAACTGACCAGGCTCGAGAGGAGCCCCATGTAAAATAAAAGCCATCAGAGATGATGTGGGATTCAAAAAAGTGCCACTTTATTGATCTTCTCTCCTAAGTAGAGAGTTCCATGTAAAAGTAAACAGAAAATGTCCTTGGGTGAAACTCCGGTCCAGCTCTTGTTCCTAAATCTTATGTTTTTATTTTTTATTTTTTTTATCCTCACCAGAGGACATTTTTCCATTTTTTTGTTCAGATAGAGTGGGAGAGAGAGAAACAGTGACTGCAACTGAGATACGTGCCCTTAGCAGGAACCGAACCCGGGTCTCTCTGGACCGCAGGCTGACGCTCTAACCACTAAGCCAAACCGGCCAGGGCTAAATCTTATGTTTTTAATCACAACACCAAACACTGTCTGCTGTCACTGGTAGAAGCCCCTGAATTGCTAAACACAAGGCCTGAATCGAGACACACTGGAATTTAACTTCAAAGAAGATCCTGGTTCAATCCATCATGGGAGGTAGACACTGTTATACAATTACGTTACTTATTGAACAAACTAGGAAACTGGTTCTGATCATAAGTATGGCAGATCCTTGAATGTAGCTCCAACACACAGCGGCCGTTCAGCTATCACAGCCCCGGGGGCTTAAAGGAAGCAAGGCAGGGGCCCTCAGTACCTCCTGAAGCGACGTTAACCAACCTTAACCCAAGTAAGTACTTGCCTTAAAAATGAACCCGAATTTATTGTACAAAGTCCAGGTCCATGATTCTGTTGTAGGGCCACAAAATGGCTGAGGCAGGGTGGAGAAAATAAAGACAAATGCTCTGCTTGTTCCTCCCTAGAACAGTTCTGGCCAAGACCATGGAGACAGACAGGTCTGGCTGGACATCCCAAGCGTCATCTCTCACAGCAGAGTGGGCTAGCTGGGTGAGGCAGCACAGGCAGAGACACGAAACAGGAGCCCTGGTCCTGGAGTCGGAATGCCTGGGTTCAAACCCAAGACCCCCACTTAAGAGTTAAAACATGTAAATGTGGCCTGGCACTTAATAAATGCTACCTGTGATACCCAGCATTAGATAGCGAGTGACATGAGTCCCCTTGTTCACTGAGTCCCCTGTAGCTCACAGTAGACACTCAACAAACACATGCTGAAAGAATGAATCCTGGAAAACATATAACCTCTCTTAGGCCTTGGTTCCTTAGCTGCAAATGGGTTAGTGATATCCAGCTCATAGAGTTACATATGAACTTCAATGAAATAATATGCAAAACACTTAGCTTTGTGCCTGGCATCGGGTAAGCACCCGTTAAGCCTTAGCCATTACTATCTTAAAAATTCAGTGATACTAATAGTTACAACTGCAACCAAGAAAGATTACTTTTTGGATCTCCAAAACACAAAAAGGTAGAATGATAATATTTCTGTTCACTAGCCCGAAAAACCTTAATGTTTTCCAAGCATCGGGTGAAACTTTTAAAACGTGAACAACAAAAATCAAATTTGCAATTCCAGCCCAAGTCCAAGGGCTAATGCATTCCTGTCCAGGATCGTAAAACAGCACTAAACGTCGAGGCTCCCGTCAGACAGATCTCCAGCCTGCAACCTGAGTGGATGCTAAGAGTTTCTTTTCCTTGAGGGCCTGAAGTTCTCTCCTGCTGGCCCCTTTAACCCAAATCTTGACATATATTTCATGCATCAGCATTAAGAAATGTAAGAAAGACACCACTAAAGACAATGAAGCTATGCTATGGTTTTTATGTTTTGTTTAGTTGTGTCCGAAATAGCGATCTTAGCATCCCCACTGTCTCATCATCCCCTGCTATATGGAAGGGTGGTCCGAGAGTCTCCCTGTCTCCTAATGTCCCTCTCGGGAGGCAAGGAGGAGAGTGGGCAGGAAGAGATAGGACCTGCATGCTTGAGAAGGCTGAGCAACTCTCAGCGCTCTGCTCAGTGAGCATGAGAATGGCTGACTACATGAGGAAATGTCCCTGTGAGTCCCCCGCTGTTCCAAGACTCAGGTCCCAGTCTCATCCCAAACAGCCTTGTCTGAGGACGTCCTGGCTCTCCTGCCTTCCAAAGCTGCACGTCTCTAC